AAAGATAATTTCTTTGCCAGCGTTACCGCAAACGCCCTTCTTAATTATCCAAAATATGAATCGTTTGTGGGCAATGTCACCAACTACCGAAATTATGTGCTTACCGTGGGCAATAACTTTATTTTGCAAGATGAAATATGGATAGAACCCTCTGTCACCTTATTTTTACCCGAAGCATTGCCCAATCGATCGGTGGATTTAAATACCAAATTTTACTACGATGATGCCGATGCCAATTTTAGGGCATGGGCTGGTTTAAATTACCGACTTGGACTAGAGGGAGACGTTCACACCACTGGATTAACCCCTTTTATTGGTGGGATATACAATGGTTATACCTTCACTTATTCATACGACATCCCTGTCGGAGAGGTGAGTCAATTTTATCCCCAATCGCATCAAATAGGAGTGGGTGTAAATTTATTTTGTGGGGCCAGACGGGCCAAATGCAACTGTCCCAATCAATAATTGCGATATTTGATAACATCTGCATAGATTTGATTATATCGAAACGACCTATTTTCGCATTAAAACTAATCAAATGAAAGATTTTACCAATAAGGTGGTCGTTATTACTGGAGCAGGTTCGGGAATTGGTCGAGCATTGGCCATAGAATTTGCCAAACGTGGCGCCCATTTGGCATTGAATGATTATAGCATGGATCAACTAAACGCCACTTTAGAAAAATTACCCAGTGGCACCAAAACATTCACCCAAGGATTCGACGTATCCGATGCCCATGCCATGGATGGATTTGCTCAATCCATATTGGCCCATTATGGTCATGTGGATGTGGTTATTAATAATGCGGGAGTGGCTCTATCCAAATACAGTGTAGAAAACACCTCTTTAGAAGATTTTAAATGGCTATTTGGCATTAATTTTTGGGGCATGGTATATGGCAGTAAGTCCTTTTTGCCACTTCTAAAACAACGCCCTCAAGCGGCATTGGTCAACGTATCCAGTTTGTTTGGTCTTAGTGGCATTCCCTATCAAGCGGCTTATTCCGCATCTAAAATGGCCATTCGAGGGTTTACCGAGTCATTGGCCATGGAGCAAGAATCCAGTGGATCGCCCGTGGTCGTGTCATCGGTACACCCTGGAGGAATTCAAACCAATATTGTGAAATCGGCCAAAGGCATGGATCAGGC